TCTTTCTCTTTTATATAGCCAGACTTAGCAAAGATTTAAATGTCTTAGCATCCACCACAGGGGAGAATATCTCCTCTATTTCTGGTCTTTGTGTGAATCCTTGTGCGACAAGCCGTGTCTGATATATTACGCTTTCACTATGTTTATTTCACACAATCACAAAGACTCATTTGTCCCACTGGCTTTACATTGAATGGTGTCCTTTGTATTGGACCAAACACATTCTTCTTCTTAATGATTCTTAGCTCCACGTTTTATGGTCTTGTACCATTTTAATCAATCAGGTCTTTGAGTGCACTCTAGTATAGACATGGGCTCCTGATCCTCATTCATTTCAGTTGTTACCTTGTGCGCAAATATATTATCATTGATGTCGACATTTTTTCGGTTCCATTGTATTCTAGACATGATATAGTTTATAGAGATCTCTTTACACCTTCAGGACCTTGAGGTTTGGCGTCCCAAACCTCATTGATTGGTACCTTAGGGTTATGTCTATTAGCTGGCCATGTCTATGGTTTCTTGAACCTTCTCGGTTTCCCTTGCACCTTTCTTTGATTTCCGAGGGTTCTTGTCTTTGGAACCTTTTGGGTCTACCACGTTTCTTACGTGTTGTAGCCTCTGTAGCAACTTGATTGTGTTCCTTGTGAACATCAATACGTACTGGTGCATTACAAGCTGGTATGTACGATTTTGTTACTCTCTTTGGGTCATTATAGGAATCTTGGCAACTGTTTTAGCTAGCTTTTGCAGATATAGTCTTTTGGATCTCTGATGGAGTCCGAGGATCTTGCCATGTGAAGGATGTTTGATTTCATGTAAGTTCTTTGACCAGCTTGTTAGTCTCTCCACCCAGTGTTGGGAAAACGGATTCATTGAGATGACAATCCTTGAATCTGGCCTTTGGCTCGAGATACTTAATGATGGTGGGAGAATCATTGTTAACGTATATTCCCATCCCCTTTTGAGGTCCCATCATTTGCTCTCTGTGGTGGTGCAATGGGTACATAGACTGAACACCCAAATGTCTTAAGATGGGAAACGTCTGGCTCATGACCCGTTAGCAATTGGGATGGGGAATATCTATGCTCACTAGAATGGCCTGATGCGTATAAGCTCTTGTTGCATGTAATATTGTGTGTCCCCAAGCAGCTACTGTCAGTTCAAGTATGGACATGTGCCACGGGGTATACTACTCTCCCCCTCATGGACATACTGTAGCCATAAAACGCTTGAGACATAATTTACCAGCATTATCTAGACATATAGTCTTAAGTATGTGGGCTCACAGACTTATGGTCTGGGCCAGCAATCTAGCAAACACCAAGTTTCTAGTTGCTTTGACTGGTGATGACCTTAGTATGGGTTTCCCTTGTGTACATGCTGCACACGTGAGGTCCTTAAGGAGTGTGCCCTTTTGATTTTAATATCAGCTTTACGCATCATGTTAGAACCAGGCTGGCCAAGCCGGTCATGCCATTAGTGAATTTCTCAGTAAACCCTTTTGTTTACTGTATTAGCCTCTATCATATTGACCTTGGCATAGTAAAGGTCTATGACGCGGGTATAGTCTCTAAGACCTTCTCATGGTCTTGGGTGCTCTTAGTAATATATGGGAATCCTTTGTTCCCTTCACCCTTAGTTTCAATGTGGAAACCATTCAAACACATTTCTTTGAAACTCAACAAGCCCCTTTGAGCTAGGTGAATATGAAGCATCTGAGGATGCGTGCCCTTGGGAATATGGGCCTGCCATGGGCCTACCGTTAGCCTTCACTAAATTTAGCTATACCCGCAATTTGGCTAATGAACCATGTCTTTAGATATTTCGTTTATTGAATTCTCATAATCATCTATCTCATGGTCGAAATCTTCTTCACCATCGTGATGAACTAAATGAGCTTCTTGATTCTTTTCAAACTCTCTTGATAGAGATCAACGAGATGCTTAGGTGTCATGCACGTCTTAGTCCAATGGTTTCCCCATTCCTCATCAGTGGCAAACAAGTTTATTTGAGTGTTGTGGTTTGGGTATACCGTGGCCTACCTCGATTACGACCAAAGTCGGGTCGGTGGCCTTAACCATATGAATGGTTTCCTTGATCATATAAATTATAATTTCCACTTCTACCACGTCCATTCCATTTACCATGACTGTGGCCATGATACTTATCTCTTTGGACGTGGTTAGACTCTTTAGTCTCTTTAGGCTCTTTAGGCTCTTTAGGCTCTTCAGCCCAACGGGCTTCTGATAATGGGGTAGGACCAGGAGGTCTCATTTCACTATTTATAACTCATTGTTTTGCTCAGCAAGTAGCATATCAGAATCAATGTTCTCATCACGGTTTCTCCAAAGCCTCACTCCTTAGCACTCTCTACAGAGGAGTCCTCCCCAAAAACAAGAGTTTAGACTTGCATATGTGGTAAAAACCTTTTTCACGATATTGTTGCTGAGGCAATATATTGTTTGTGTGAAAGGTCGAGAATGCTTTCTCTAGCAAGTCATTCTCAGTAACTTCC